TACGGCTGTGATAGTGGCCATGACATGCAGTGGCAGTCAGTAGCAGCGGCACAAGGGCGTGAGTAGCAGCTGCTGTAGCTGCAGCTGTAGCAGTAGCGGTGGTCGCTGTGGCTGCAACAGCAGTAGCAACTGTTGGAGTGGATGTACGTGGGTAGTAGGGCACGAGCTAACAGCAGTGCGCGGGCAGAGCAGGCACGCGGGCAGTAGGTCAGCACGGGCTGCAAGGCGCACGCGGGCTACAGGGTGCACGCAGGGCGGAGGGCAACAGAGGCGCACAGGCTGCAGGGGCGAGCGCGGGCTGCAGGGGCGAGCGTGGCTGCAGGGGCGAGCGCGGGCTATAGGAGCGAGCACGGCTGCAGGGGCGAGCGCGGGCTGCAGGGGCTAGCTCAGGCTGCAGGGGCAAGCGCGGCTGCAGAGGCGAGCACGGGCTGCAGGGGCGAGCGCGGCTGCAGGGGCGAGCGTGGCTGCAGGGGCGAGCGCGGGCTGTAGGGGCGAGCACGGCTGCAGGGGCGAGCGCGGGCTGCAGAAGCGAGCATGGCTGCAGGAGCGAGCGCGGGCTGCAGGGGCGAGCGCGGGCAGCAGGGGCGATCGGGGGCTGCAGGGGCGAGCGCAGGCTGCAGGGGCGAGCGCGGCTGCAGGGGCGAGCGCAGGCTGCAGGGGCGAGCGCGGCGGCAGGGGCTAGCGCGGGCTGCAGGGGCGAGTGCGGCTGCAGGGGCGAGCGCGGGCTGCAGGGGCAAGCACTGCTGCAACGGCGAGCGCGGGCTGCAGGAGCGAGCGTGGGCTGCTGGGGCGAGCGCGGCTGCAGGGGCGAGCGCGGGCTGCAGAGGCGAGCGCGGGCTGCAGGGGCGAGCGCGGCTGCAGGGGCGAGCGCGGGCTGCAGGGGCTACCGCGGCTGCAGGGGCGAGTGCGGGCAGCAAGTGCGAGCGCGGGCTGCAGGGGCGAGTGCGGGCTGCAAGGGCGAGCGCGGGCTGCAGGGGCGAGCGCGGCTGCAGGGGCGAGCACGGGCTGCAGGGGCGAGCGCGGGCTGCAGGGGCGAGCGGGGGCTGCAGGGCAGGGCGGCGCGCGTGCCTAAGGGCAGGGCAGCGCAGCGCGCGGGCTGCAGGGCAGGTCAGAAAAAAAATACGGGCAAGGCGGGGCGGAACGTTCGGTGGGCCCTAGGAACGATCATGTTCTAATACCATGTTGAGATAGGAAAACAGGAATGATGAATGACTAGCAACAGGGAGATACAAGTACTAAACCCTAACAGGGGTTGTACTCTATACTGAGCACCTCAGTTAGGAGAACTTGTAATTGAGTAACGGCCATAAGCGCCGGCGCTTTTATAAGGCAAAAATGAATTTCTATGTAAAGGATATCATTCTGAAGCCGTGAATAAGGCGAATACAACACTGTACCATGCACGCGGGGTCGTGCATGGAATGACGACGAAACTTGCCACGGTTCGATTTCCCACAGCACAAAACCCGTCCCGGTGCAACGCACCTGCCAGCGCTGATGCAAAACCTGCCGTGCGGCCCAATCAGGTTGGCATGCGCTGCCAGGCAGGAGCATCTCGGCAGAACCATCCAGAACGTGATGGAATCTGCCGTGCCAGCGCAGCATGGATGGTGCCCCCAACCCTCCTCTGCAGGTTGGGGCAAGGGTGTACTCGTCTCTCATCGACGAGGACCCCGAGCCGCAAACCAGAAGGGGTCCCCTTCAATCTCCCATTTCAACACCCAGGGTTGCAGTTTTTTATTCAGTCTTCTTTTTCTCGCCCGCCTGGCTGCGGAAGCCATGGCGGAATTCACAGGCACTCATTTTCTCTTCAAGAAAAAACCTTCTAGTAGGCCCGCGTACCATGTTACAGCTGACGGGTGGTATAGCCGCATACCTCCAGACCCTCCAGAGCCACCACAGCCTCCTGCGCCGCCTGCTCCTCCGGCTCCTCCAGTGCCTCCGACTCCCCCTGCTCCTCCTGTTCCTCCGTGTCCGGTGGCCCCTCACATCGACAACCACCCCGTGCTCACGCTCCTGCTCCCATCGGCGTTCGACGAGTATCTGTCGGAACCGGATTATGACAAGGGCCCCGATGTTGACTTACCCGCTCCAGCGCCAGCACCACGTTGGGGCCAGCCATAGGATTTCACGTGGGATGAATCTGCAGTCGGCGCTGACGACGACGTGCAAGACGCCGAGGAAGGTTGGCGCGCTGAGGGCGACGCCGGCGCCGAGGGTGGGACTGAGGCCGACACCGAGGCCGCTACTGAGGCCGGCACTGCTGAGGATGTGTTTCCCGAGGGTGCGCCGGGCGGTGACGACGACGACGGCGTCGAATACTGGTCACGCGATGGCCTCCTCGAGAAACTCCCGATACCAACTTATCCTCCACGTAATCGAAAGCGACCTCACCCTTCTTCCCAGAACCGTGATTCTTGCCCCCCCTCTCCCAGGCACAAGCCCAACGACCACAAGCGTCAGGCTTATACTGCCGCCGAGAAGTTGAAGTGGGTCGCGCAGCTGGATGTGGCGGTGTCGGTGCGCGCTCTGGCTCGCGAGAGTGGCATCCACCGCAAGTGCCTCGCCAACTGGAAGCGTGCCGCTGATTTCCTCAAGGAAGCCCACTCTGCCAGGTGCCGCATGCACGGTCGCGGCAGGGCGTCGTGGTACCGCCCGATGGAGATTAAGGTGTATGAGCGACTGCTCGACTGGCGACGCAAGGGAACCGCGGTGTCCATCGGCCGCCTGCAGGAGTGGTCCCGGGAGTTCATGAAGATTCTCTACCCCCTCGTGAAGTGGAAAGGGAGCCAACGGTGGTCGGACTGGTTCCGTCGGTGGTGGAATCTCAGCGTGCGAATGAAGACGAAGGTCGCCCAGAAAACCGCCGCCCGTAAGAATCATTTTTATTCTCTATGCCATGTGTATGCACTTGTTACTCACTAACCGTAACTGTGCTCAACCGCAGATGTCGCAGAGCAATGCAAGAAGTTCTGGCAATTCGTCCGTGACAAGTGTCGGGAGCGCGGCATCGAGACGACGTGGATTATCAACGCCGACCAGACGCCGCTGTGGCTGGAGATGCCCGCCACCACTACCGTCGATCAAACCGGTGTTCGGTCGGTGCCCATCAGGAGCGCAGGGTACCAGAAGGAGCGTGTGACCGTGATGTTGGCGTGCACGGCGGACGGGATGAAGCTGTGGCCGTGGGTTTTTTTTCAAGCGGAAGACCGTGCCGAAAGGGGTGTTCCCGCCGGGTGAGTCATGATTCTTGTTTGTTTGCTTTACACCGGTCCTGTTTTTAAAGAGACTTACAGAAGCTTGTTTGTTATGCAGATGTGGTCGTGTCGTGTCACGAGAACGGCCGGATGGACGCCAACGGCGTCATACAATGGCTTGAGGAGTGCGTCAAGCCATTTCTAAAGCCTGGGTTCGGGAGGCATGCGCGGAGCTCGATGGTCGTACTGGACTCGTACCGCGGTCACCTCACTGAGGCCGTTAAGGAGAAGTTTCGCGAGCTCAACTGCGTGCCGGCGATCATCCCGTCTGGCTGCACGGCGGAGGTACAGCCCCTCGACGTCTCCATCAACAAGAGCTTTAAGGCGAGTGTCCGCCAGCAGTATCAGAAGTGGTTTCAGGAAGAAGGCCAAGAACAGCTAACCAGAGCAGGTACGGTAGCCACGCGAGTCCCTATCTTACCGTAGATGATTTTCCCCCCTTTTGTTGCGCTAACTATATATTGTGTGATTCTGTTGGTACAGGGAACTTGAAGAAGCCACTTCCAGAGGTGGTCGTGAGGTGGATCTCACGGGCTTGGAAAGCAGTGCCCGCCGACCTCATCAAGCGCGCCTTCCTCACATGTGGCATCAGCAACGCGCTTGACGGCAGTGAGGACGGCCTCGCCATGGCGCACAGGCGGAGCCAGCTGACCGCGGAGGTGGACGTCGATGACCCCATCATCGCCGATGGCTTCTTTGGCAACAACTGCCAGGAGCCAGAATCCAACGAGGAGGAGTATATTTTCTAGGTAGAGATGCTAAACTTTGCAATATGTAGCTAGATAAAATTGTCAGTGATGATGTTGTAGGTGAAAAGTTATTATGCTCATGTTTAGTGTTAATTAGAGATGTTTTTTTTGTAATGAGTTCTCCACAACGTGAAAAGGTGCGCTTATAATTACACCCACTAGAGGGGGGGCGCTTATAATCGAGTTCCAGCCATAAGCGCCATGCTCCAGATAGAAGCGCCGGCGCCCTTAATCGGACGGCGCCTATATCCGGGGCCATACGGTGACCATAATAGATTTCAATGCAAATCCTGGCTCAAATAGCACGATCATTTGCACATTTCTTCCTGTTCATGAATTGTGGTTTTACATGATTCAGCAGCTGAATGCTTTTGTTTTCTATCCAATTTTGTTCATCTCAATATGAACCCATGTACAAGGTTCTCACAACGCAAAACTATAGTGTACTGGCGTCGCAATGTGCTCTTTTAAAATGCACGAGAAATCACACCAGGAAGGATGAACCTTGGGAATACCACTCAGGTACTTCGAGTTGTGTGCTTCGTTGATGAGTTAGTTTGATCACCTCGGGACTATCGCCTGATCGAAGCTCCTAACTGCTTCGACGACGTCACGATGGTAGACATCGAGGACCTGGCATCGGGTAACCACCATTTTGACGAGGACAGGCGAACCGGATTAGGTCGTAAACAAGGTGGCAAAATTGCCGTAAACGGTTTGAACGGGGAGATCTCAACCGTTAATTCGCAAGCACCCCTTCCTGAAGTAGGAGGCGGCCGGCCTGCTGTTAGGCGACGGCCGAAGAAGACATCCGCAGTCCGCATTGACGGTAACGGTAACGATAACAATAACGGTAACCTTGACAATGGGTTGAAGCAGGCTAGCGAAGCAGTAGACAGCGAATCGAGGGTTTTGGAGACAGAAGCTGGCATTGGAACTGTTCGTGTCGGAGATAACGCAGCGAATGGGTTGGAAGAGCATCGTAATGGGATCAATGGAGAAGATGAAGGTGCTCCGACCTCTGTTCCTGGAACGCAGGTATGCTTATAACGAGGATGAGGATCTTTCAAATCCAATAACTCACCGTCGAGGAAGTATTTTGCGGTCACATGTATACGAACCTCGCGTTTTTCCACCCCTATTCAGCGTGATGATTGCTGAACGGTCGTGTATCAGTATCTCTCATTCACGATTCCTACTGAATTCACTGTAGTTTCTGCACTTACTGGACTCACCCACCCAACCGTGAAGCCTTTCCGCCTCTATTATCCTGCTTGGCCGCTGCTTTGATCCCGCTCCCTCGTCTGCAGTCAATATATATCAAGACTTTCGGTTGCTCTCACAACATGGTACTTTTCTGAATCCTTACAGTAGCTTCTAGGATCCTTTTCAAAAGACTGCTGTGCTGTGCAATATGCACTGTGATATTCTGCTACATCTACCTAACCTTCGAGTCTTCGACATGGGGCCTGCAATCCTTGTTCCCCGCCCTCTGTTCTTCCATTATTTGTTAACCGTTATTGAGCCCTGAACTCTTTCATCCTACCCTCTTTGCCACGGCTGGCAGAGGCACGGAGTGCTTGGCTGGCTCCCTTCCCACCCCTCCAATCCTGTCCTTACCTTTTCTGTCCTCCCCACACCACTTGTGCCCCCCACCTCTTCTCTCCCTCCTCTCCTCCTCACTCCCTCCCTCCCCCCCCCCCCCCCCCCCCACCCAACCCACCCCCCCCTCCTCATGGCAGAGCGACAGTGAGTACATGGCGGGACAGCTGGCAGCGTTTGGGTACCAACTCGTGGAGGTGCCATCGGAAGCGGACCTGTGGATTATCAACACGTGAGTGCAAGTTGGGTGGGCGGGTTGGAATGGAGGGGAGAGCTTCTGAAGAGTTCTTAAACATGTCTACTGAATGGTGGAGGTGCATTCTGAGGCGGACTTATGTTGTGGTGGGTCATTGACAGTGAGTGCCCGTCTCACACCTTGACCCCTCTTCTCCGTTCCCCTGCTTGTGTCCTCTCGGCTCCGCCTTTCCACCAGGTGCACGGTGAAGATCCCGTCTCAGTCAGCCATGGACACGCTCATCCGTAAGGGCAGGGAGCTGCTTCTAATACACCTCAGGCATATCTTTGATTCGCGTTGGCTCCCCTTCTTCTCTCCCCCCTTCCCTCCCCCCCCACCCCCACCAGGTGCACGGTGAAGAACCCGTCTCAGTCAGCAATGGACACGCTCATCCGTAAGGGCAGGGAGCTGAGCAAAAGACTCGTGCTCGCAGGCTGCGTGCCTCAGGTGGGTGCCTCAGGTGGGTGCCTCAGGTGGGTGCCTCAGGTGAGTGCCCCAGGTGTCTGCCTTATGTCTTGTGCCTCCTCCCCTCCCTCCTCACCTTCATCCTCCCCTTCAACTTCTACCACTCGTCTACCCGTCCTCTCACCACTCCATATCAGGGCGACAGTGTTTTGTGTCGACTCAAAACACAACTCATTCCACTCGTCCACCCGTCCTCTCACCACTCCATATCAGGGCGACAGTGGGGTGGCGGAGGGAGAGGGCGTGAGTGTGGTGGGGGTGCAGCAGATCGACCGCGTGGTGGAGGTGGTGGAGGAGACGCTCAAAGGCAACACTGTCCGCCTGCTCTCCCGCAACCGCGCTCTACCCGCACTCGACCTGCCCAAGGTAACTAGTCTGTCACTTCCGCTCTTCCAAGGTAGAGTGTCCTTGACGTTGCCTCCCCAAAGGCGGAGTTTTCACGTGGGCTGCTTGTTACTGTGTGATGTGACGTTTGGGCCACTCACCCTTCTCCCCTCCCCCTCCCCCCCTGCCCCCGCGCCACCAGATGTGGCTAATAAGTGGGTGGAGATCGTGCCCATCAGCGTGGGTTGCTGTCCCCACTCCCCCCTTTCACCCACCTCCTCCTTCTCTTCCCCCCCACCCCCCCTCCCCCCCGCCCCCGCGCCACCAGGTGCGGCGCAACAAGTGGGTGGAGATTGTGCCCATCAGCGTGGGCTGCCTGGGTGCGTGCACCTACTGCAAGACGAAGCACGCCAGAGGCCATCTCGGCTCCTATCCTCTGCCCGTGCTGGTACGTTGATTGACCTCCCGCTGCTGCACACACTGGAACTTTGCATTTCTTTCCATGAGAGCTCCACTTGCCGTCTCTCCCTCGCCCCCCTTCCACAGGTGGACAGGGTGCGGGCAGCGGTAGCAGAGGGAGTGCGTGAAATATGGCTAAGCAGCGAGGACAGGGGAACCTACGGCCGTGACATTGGCAGCGACCTGCCCTCCCTCCTCTCCGCCCTTGTCCCCCCCCCCCCCCCCCCCTGACGGCCGCTGCATGCTGCGAGTCGGCATGACCAACCCACCCTACATTCCTTCCCAGAGCTCCTTTCCATGATAGCTCCGCTTGCCGTCTCTCCCTCGCCCCCCTTCCACAGGTGGACAGGGTGCGAGCAGCGGTAGCAGAGGGAGTGCGGGAGATCTGGCTGAGTAGCGAGGACACGGGCGCCTACGGCCGGGACATCGGCAGCGATCTGCCCTCCCTCCTCTCCTCCCTTCCCGCCTCCTTCCAGGGCTGCTTTATGCTGCGAGTCGCTCTCCAAGGCACTTTAGAAGCAAATTCGCCTCTCCTTTCTCCCTCATACCCCTTCCAAAGGTGGACAGGGTGCGAGCAGCAGTAGCAGAGGGCGTGAGGGAAATCTGGCTGAGCAGCGAGGACACGGGCGCCTACGGCCGTGACATTGGCAGCGACCTGCCCTCCCTCCTCTCCGCCCTCGTAGCCTCCCTCCCCCCCGACGGCCGCTGCATGCTGCGAGTCGGCATGACCAACCCGCCCTACATTCTTGAGCACCTGCCTGAAATCGCAAAAATCCTCAACCACGCCTGCGTGTACAAGTTTCTGCACCTGCCCGTGCAGTCGGGCAGCAACAGCGTGCTGGAGGGGATGAAGAGGGAGTATACAGTGGAGGAGTTTTGCCGGGTGGTGGACACGCTTATGGGGCTTGTGCCTGGTTTGGAGATTGCAAGCGACATCATCTGTGGCTTCCCAGGTGGGTTATCCCGAGATCTCTGCAGCAACAAGTGTGTTGGAGGGCATGATGAGGGAGTATATGGTGGAGGAGTTCTGCCGCGTGGTGGACACACTTATGGCGCTTGTGCCCAGCTTGGAAATCTCCACTGACATCATCTGTGGCTTCCCAGGTGTGTAAGGTTTTGATCCGGTTTGGCTGCTCCAGGTGTTGAGTACCTTGTGTTCCAGCACTGAAGGGCAGCAACAGTGTGCTGGAGGGCATGAAGAGGGAGTATACGGTGGAGGAGTGCTGCCGCGTGGTGGACACACTTCTCAGCCTTGTGCCTGACCTAGAGATCGCCACTGACATCATCTGTGGCTTTCCAGGTGTGTGAGTGGTTCAGAACCTCTACCACCACAGGCATAGGGGTTTGCCTGCGCCTATGCGTGTGTGTGTGTGTGTGTTTCTGTGTCTGTGTGTGTTTGTTTCTGTGTGTGTGTGTGTGTGTGTGTGTGTTTCTGTGTGTGTGTGTGTGTGTGTGTTTCTGTGTGTGTGTGTGTTTCTGTGTGTTTGTGTGTGTTTCTGTGTGTGTGTGTGTGTGTGTGTGTGTGTGTGTGTGGTGAGAGAACGTTTCAGAAGCATAGGGGCTGGGTGAGTCCTTTTTGTTTTGGTGCTGGAGGGAATGAGCGGTGCCCATGACTGGCCACGTTCCACTGCACCGCACTCCACTGCTATCTTACCCCATTCTACTCCACCATCGCACAGGCGAGATGGTGCCTGATTTTGAGCAGACCATGGATCTGAACGCACCTCTCTTTGCACCACACTCCACCACACTCCACCATACTCCCACCCACCCCGACCCAACCTACTTACCACACCTCCGACTGCACGACACTCTTCCAACCAACCCACCCAACCCCATCCCAACCCACAACCCACCTTGTCATAGCAGGCGAGACGGCAGCGGACTTTGAGCAGACCATGGATCTGATCCGCAAGTACAAGTTCGCCCAAGTGCACATCTCACAGTTCTACCCTCGCCCAGGTGAGACCCGCCAGTGTAGATATAGCTCTTTTCAGTTGAGCCCTGCAGGTATATCCTTCCCTGGTGGGCCTGGCAAGCAAGCATAGCCTCCACATGGTGGGCCCTGCAGTTCGAGCCTTCCAAGTACCTCCTCCTGCTTGCGATGCTCGGAGCTGTGCTTTGCTCATTGATATGTGCTGCGTTTGGCCCAGATGCTCTGAGTTGCCAACTGCAGGGTAAAATGGTTGTTGGGGAATTGAAATGTGAAAATTGAAATCAAGGCACCCTAGGAGCACAGTCAAAAGACCTTTTCCCGTCCAACCCCCCTATCGACCCCCACCCCATTCCTCTCCCTTCGGGCACACCAGCAGCGCGCATGCCCAAGGTGCCATCAGGGGAGGTGAAGCAGCGCAGCAGAGCACTCACCACCCTCATGGAGTCCTTCACCCCCTACACGAACTTCGATGCATTGGAGTCAAGAATCTACTCACAATACCCTCTCTCTCCCATTGCTGCCCCTTCACCCCACCACCTCCCACCCCCGTCCCCCTTCTACTGACCTTACCAGGCACTCCAGCAGCACGCATGCCCAAGGTGCCATCAGGGGAGGTGAAGCAGCGCAGCAGAGCACTCACCACCCTCATAGAGTCCTTCACGCCCTACACGAACCTTCTTGGAACCACCCAACGGGTATGGATCACCGATGTTGCCGCAGACAAGACGAAGCTTGTCGGCCACACGGATAGCTACGTGCAGGTGCTTGTCCCGCCTGATGATGTGGCGTTGGATAAGCTGCCAGGTGGCAGGCCACCAGATGACACGTCAGCAGTCAATGTGTCTTCTTGTGACGCCGTGGATCAAGATGAGAAAGCTCTGGGGAAATTGACAGCAGCCAATGGGTCGGCGGCAAAAGCGAATGAGCCGAACAGTGGTGGCAGGAGTGCGCTTTTAGGGTCGAACTTGTTTGTCCGCATAACCACAGTCGGGCGGTGGTCTGTGATTGGCGTGCCGGTGTCTGCCCCAGTGAAGTATCTGCCTGTTGCTGCTGGAAGCCTAGATATTCTGAACAAGGCTCAGCAGAGCAAGGAGCAGCAGCAGGTTGAGACTGAAGAGCAGCCACTGCTACCACCATTGCTGCAGGAGCAGCAGTTGAAGGAGCATCAGGATCCAGGAATGGGTGGAGCGTCAGATGAGTGTTGTGGTGGAGGGAGCGAGGGAGCTTGCGCTTGCTCTGGTGATACTCCTGCTGCGGCTTCTGCAGAAGAGGACAAGTGCTGCAACATAGGAAGCTCGTCCTGCAGTGGTGTTTTGGCAGCAGCTGGGGTAGGAGAAGTGCGCTCCACAACTGCAGTTCCTGCAGGTCAGAGAGGTGCAGGAATGGGTGGGGAGTTGGTTGATGGATTGTTGCTTGCTGGTATTGCGGTAGGAGCATTAGGCATTGCGGTCTCTTTGGCTTGGACTGTATACATTCGCTACAGTAACAATAGGTGACAAAGAATGTTCTCATTCCTGGGAGCCAGGGCACAAGTTGATGTTCTACCACTAGTACTTTTTTGCAGTAAACCACTAGTTTCTCCGCGAGTTGTATTGTAACGCGGATTTTCGCGTTCTTATTATCACTTCAATCCTTTAGGCGAGAAGACAACCAGACTTTTGGAACCAGCAGCATGCGGATGAGCGGAGAGGTAGCAGATGAGGAGTTTAGGTCATCTAGATAGTGTCGCACTTGTGGTTTGAGAGGTAATCTCGAGGCCCAGTCCGACTTGTTGCAGGCGTATTTGGAAAATTCTCGCTCTTTTTGCGGGAAACTCGCAAGAATTCTCAGAAATGCATCTAACCTCCTGATCTCCTAACCCTCCTGCTGGTCCATTCCTCCAGACCATTTGCCTCCAGTTCTCCGTATATTCATCCCATTCCTCTGAATTACGAATCCGCAGGATCCGGCGGGATTTGGACTGTCACGTCCTGCCGCCGTAACATACCGTACCGCCAACCGTCGTTTTTCTCAACGCAGGTTTTCCCTCAATCCTTGACCTAACTCACCCAATCCCAGTTCCGCCTGTTTTTCCCCGAACCCCGCTTCCGCCTGGTACTCTCCCAACCCCGCGTCCTCCTGTTTTTCCCGCCGTCCGCCGCCATGTCGTCCCTACCGCAAGGTCTACTCCCATCTGAGGACGATCTGCTCTACGAGGAGGAGATTCTCAGAAACCCTTTTTCTCTTAAACTCTGGTGGCGGTACCTCGCGGCGCGGCGCGATTCGCCCGCGCGGAAGCGGTACTTGATTTACGAGCGAGCGTTAGTAGCCCTCCCGGGTTCTTACAAGCTATGGGCGGCGTACCTTAAGGAACGCCGCGCGGCGGTCCGCGGGCTTCCCGCGAATCACGCTGCGCACGCCGCTTTGAACAACGCGTTTGAGCGCGCTTTAGTTACGATGCACCGCATGCCGCGCATTTGGCTCGAGTACCTATCCGCGTTGGTAGACGACCAGAAGCTAGTAACGCGCGCGCGTCGCACGTTCGATCGTGCGCTTCGATCCCTGCCCGCGACGCAACACGACAGGCTCTGGGATCCGTATCTTAGATTCGTCCGCAAGCCTGGCATTCCCATCGAGACCGCTCGCCGGATATTCCGCCGGTTTTTGCGGTTCGATCCGTTGCGCGTGGAGGAGTACGTGGAGTTCTTGGTCGAAGCGCAGGAATGGCGCGAAGCGGCGGAGCGGCTCGCGTCGGCTCTAAACGACGAGAAATTCGTGTCGGTGCGCGGGAGAACGCGGCACCAGCTGTGGCTGCAGCTGTGCGATCTGCTGACGCGGCATGCGGAGGTGATGCACGGGGATGCGGGAGGCCGGGGGGGAGGCGGAGCAGTCGGAAGCGGAAGCGGAGGCGGAGGCGGGATAGTCGGAAGCGGAACCCTAAAAGTGGACGCGATTCTGCGGAGCGGAATTCGGCGATTTTCGCACGAGGTGGGGCGATTATGGACTTCCTTAGCGGACTATTACATCCGACGCGGGCTGTTCGAGCGCGCTAGAGACGTGTACGAGGACGGATTAACTAGCGTGATGACGGTGCGCGATTTCAGCGTGGTGTTTGACGCCTTGGCGCAATTCGAGGAGAGTATGCTGGCGGCTAAACTAGAGCTCACTGCTGGAGAGGAGGAGGAGGAGGCGGAGGAGGAAGCAGAGGGGGAAGAGGGGGAGGAAGAGGAGGAAAGGGAGTGGTGGGAAGAGGAAGAGGAGGGAGTGGGGGAGGGGGAGGAGGCGGGTGCAGGAGCAGAGGAAGGGGGTAGGAGAGAGGAGGACGGGCAGGAGCAGCAGCAGGCGGAGGGTCAAGCAGACAAGGAGGGGCAGGCCAAGGGGAAGAAGATGACGAAACAACAACTGCTGAAGCTGCAGCAGCTCCATCAGCAGCAGCAGCAGCAGGAAGACGCGCTAAAAGCCAGCTCAGCAGCTTCGAAGCAAAAGAAGCAGAAGAAGAAGCCAGTAGACTGGATGTTCCGAACAGCAGACGCGGATCTGCGCTTGGCGCGCTTAGAAGCCCTCATGGACCGCCGCCCAGAGCTCGTCTCCGCGGTCCTCCTCCGCCAGAACCCCCACAATGTGCACGAGTGGCATAAGCGCGCCAAGCTCTTCCAAACCAATCCTGAGCGTCAGATCCTGACCTATACCGAAGCTGTGAAGACCGTGGATCCGTTTCAGGCGGTTGGGAAGCCGCACACGCTCTGGGTGGCGTTTGCGAAGCTGTATGAGAAGCACGGGGACTTGGGGAATGCGAGGCGGGTGCTGGAGCGGGCGGTTCAGGCGCGGTTGAAAGCGGTGGAGGACGTTGCGGCGGTGTGGTGTGAGTGGGCGGAGATGGAAGTGCGGCATCATAACTTCCACGGGGCGAGGGAGCTTCTGAGGAGGGCAACTCTGCAGCCGTCAGTGGCTGTGCTGCGGCAAGGTGAGCGCTGCTGGGGGGTTGGTTGGTGAAAGGTTTAGGGATTGTGATTTGGAAGCTTGGAGAATACCTGATTGTTAGTATGCAGGAGCAGGAGCTACGGAGGCTTCGACGGTGTTTGTATGCAGATACAAGGGGGAGCGTGGGTTGAGTGTTGAGTTGATCGAAAACGGCGCCATGACCCTTAACATGCCTCTTTTCCCATTGCTCCCTCTGCTGCTCTCCATGCTGCTGACCACAGTAGCTGCTACAGAAGGAGACAAGAGGCCGCAGTTGAAGGTGTATTGGAGCCTCAAGGTGTGTGGACTCTGTATGTGGACCTGGAGGAGAGTCTGGGGACTCTTAAAACCCTGCCTTTTCCCTTATTTCGTCCCTTTTTTGGAACTACAGCGGCAGCGGAAGGAGATGAGAGGCCGCAGCTGAAGGTGTATCGCAGCCTCAAGGTGTGGACGCTGTACGTGGACCTGGAGGAGAGCCTGGTGTGGGGATTCCTAACACTTTGAATGTCCCTTATTTCGTCCCTTTTTTCGCACAAACAGCCGCTGCAGAGGGAGACGAGAGGCCGCAGCTGAAGGTGTATCAGAGCCTCAAGGTGTGGACACTGTATGTGGATTTGGAGGAGAGCCTGGGGCATGTTTGATGCGCCTCAGAAAGAGGGTCTGAGCGTTCCTCCCTTTCCCCCTTTCTGAAAGAACAGCTGCTGCAGAGGGTGACGAACGTCCCCAGCTGAAAGTGTATCGGAGCCTCAAGGTGTGGACGCTGTACGTGGACCTGGAGGAGAGCCTGGGCACGCTGGAGACCACCCGCGCTGTGTACGATCGCATTATCGACCTCAAGATCGCCACGCCTCAGATCATCATCAACTATGCACTCATGCTCGAGGTGGGTATGAGAGGGTGGGGAAGGGGTGGGTGGGTAGGAGGCGGGGTGGGCCTGGCGGGGTGGGCCTGGCGGGGTGGGCCTGGCGTGTCCTGAGGCGTTGCAGACAAGGACAACGTAGGGGGGGGGAGGGGAGGGCAGGGCATGGCACGCTACCGCTCAGATCATCATCAACTAGGCACCCATGCTCGAGGTGGGGTGCTGGGCTGCTGGGCTGCTGGGCTGCTGGCGCATGAAGTGGTATGCTATGTTTGAACTGTGATGCACATGAAAGGGCATACAGCAAAGTTCAAAGCGCAAACCCTAGCAAACCCGAAACCCTTAACTTGGAACTGTGAACAGCTTCACAGTGTACAGCAAGCAGTTCTGAACCCACTTTTCTAACATTTTCAATTCTTCCATGCCTCCTTTTCAACCCTTGTGCCGCACCTGTCGGTCCAACCCAATCCAGGAGCACAAGGACTTCGAGGACAGCTTCAAGGTGTACGAGTTTTGAGACGTCTCAAGACAGCTTCAAGGTGTACGAGTTTTGAGACGTCTCAAGACAGCTTCAAGGTGTACGAGTTTTGAGACGTCTCAAGACAGCTTCAAGGTGTACGAGTTTTGAGACGTCTCAAGACAGCTTCAAGGTGTACGAGCGCGGGGTGAACATATTCAAGTTTTGAGACGTCTCAAAACCATATTCAAGTACTTCTACTCGCGTGTTCCCCTTTTCTTCTCCGTGTGTCTATGTGTCGCCTGTGTGTTCGTTCCAACCCCAGGAGCACAAGTATTTCGAGGACAGCTTCAAGGTGTACGAGACTGGGGTGAACATCTATGAGGTGGCTCTAAAGGGGAATGAACATCTTTGGTCATCTGTCCTCCTCCTTTTCACCCTATGTCCAACCCCCTTCTCACCAACCCCAGGAGCACAAGTATTTCGAGGATAGCTTCAAGGTGTACGAGAGGGGGGTGAACATATTCAAGTACCCACACGTGCGCGACATCTGGACCACCTACCTCTCCAAGTTCGTTCAGCGCTACGGCGGCAAGAAGCTGGAGCGAGCCAGGGACCTCTTTGAACAGGCACTCGAGAGTGTGAGTGGGATGGGGTGCTGATAGTAGGATGAGGTTTGGACTTCTCAAAGCTTGATATTGGTTGGAAATCGGAATGCTTACGTGAAGGGTCAGGGCGCCGTGTGCCTGGGCCGCTTCAAGGTGTAGGAGCGCGGGGTGAACATATTCAAGTACCCGCATGTGCGCGACATCTGGACCACCTACCTCTCCAAGTTCGTGCAGCCCTACGGCGGCAAGAAGCTGGAACGCGCAGGAGACCCCTTCGAACAGGCTCTTCAGAGTGTGAGTTCCATGCCTCATGTGTAGAGTCACATGCAGAGACGAGGCTGGCCTATGCGCGGCTGGAGGAGGAGTATGGGCTGGCTGGCACCGCACGCCATGTGAAATGAGAGTGTTTTTGAGACATCTCAAATGCACGCCATGTGAAATGAGAGTGTTTTTGAGACATCTCAAATGCACGCCATGTGAAATGAGAGTGTTTTTGAGACATCTCAAATGCACGCCATGTGAAATGAGAGTGTTTTTGAGACATCTCAAATGCACGCCATGTGAAATGAGAGTGTTTTTGGGACATCTCAAATGCACGCCATGTGAAATGAGAGTGTTTTTGTGACATCCCCCAAACACTCTCAGGAGGAGTATGGGTTGGCACGGCACGCCATGGCCGTGTATGAGCGAGCAGCACAGGCGGTGCGAGCGGGAGGCGAGGGCGGCGGCACATTAACCCCTTGGTCATCTCTTTCCCATCCCTCATCTCCCCTTCCCCTCATCTCCTCCCTATGCCAGGCCCCATCAACGGACTGCAAACCTCTGTATCTAGCCTACGCAAGGTTGGAGGAGGAGTATGGGCTGGCACGGCATGCCATGGCCGTGTATGAGCGAGCAGCACAGGCGGTGCCAGAGGAGCAGAGGATGGGCGTGTACGAGCTCTTCATTGCTCGTGCTGCTGAGCTGTTTGGAGTGGCCAAGACACGGGATATCTACGAGGTGAGTGGAGAGGCTAAGCTGGGTTGTAAGTGGTGAAATGCGGTGGAGTGTGGTTGCTGTCCATGTTTACCCCCCTCTTCCTTCTTACTCCCCTGGTTCATAATGTTTGTCCCTGCAATGCACTCCCACCTAACCTCCTTCACACCCCCTTACCTCCCCCACTCCACTCTTCCACCCACCCCCTCTTCCCCCACCTCCTCCTCCTCCTCCTCCTCCTCCTCCTCCTCCTCCTCCTCCTCCTCCTCCTCCTCCTCCTCCTCCTCCTCCTCCTCCTCCTCCTCCTCCTCCTCCTCGTCCTCGTCCTCCTCGTCCTCCTCGTCCTCCTCGTCGTCGTCGTCGTCGTCCTCCTCCTCCTCCTCCTCCTCCTCCTCCTCCTCCTCCTCCTCCTCCTCCTCCTCCTCCTCCTCCTCCTCCTCCTCCTCCTCCTCCTCCTCCTCCTCCTCCTCGTCCTCCTCGTCCTCCTCGTCCTCCTCCTCCTCCTCCTCCTCCTCCTCCTCCTCCTCCTCCTCCTCCTCCTCCTCCTCCTCCTCCTCCTCCTCCTCCTCCTCCTCCTCCTCCTCCTCCTCCTCCTCGTCCTCGTCCTCGTCCTCCTCCTCCTCCTCCTCCTCCTCCTCCTCCTCCTCCTCCTCCTCCTCCTCCTCCTCCTCCTCCTCCTCCTCCTCCTCCTCCTCCTCCTCCTCCTCCTCCTCCTCCTCCTCCCCCTTCCCCCCCTTTCTACTATCCCTCTACACTCCCTCCCACCACAGAGGGCCATCGAGTCTGGCCTACCAGACGCGGATGTGAAGCGCATGTGCCTGCGGTATGCAGCGCTGGAGAGAAGTGCATGGCAGATATCCCCTTACCTCTTACCCCCGTCCATCCCCGCAGAGAGCCATCGAGTCTGGCCTACCTGATGCAGATGTGAAGCGCATGTGCCTGCGGTATGCAGCGCCGGAGAGGCGGCTGGGAGATGTCCCTTCACCTCTTGACCCCCTTTCTTTCCTCCCGCCACCTCCATCCCCTTCCTCCCACGACAGAGAGCCATCGAGTCTGGTTTACCAGATGCGGACGTGAAGCGCATGTGCCTGCGGTACGCGGCATTGGAGAGGCGCCTGGGGGAATAGTTCCTCACATTCGATATTATTTCATGCTCCCTCTCCCTCCCTGCAGAGGGCCATCGAGTCAGGCCTACCCGATGCAGATGTGAAGCGCATGTGCCTGCGGTATGCCGCATTGGAGAGGCGGCTGGGGGAGATCGACCGCGCGCGAGCCATCTTTGTGCACGCCAGCCAGCTGGCGGACCCGCGGTCCGACGGGGAGTTCTGGGAGGCGTGGAACGCGTTTGAGATCGCTCACGGGAATGAGGACACGTTCCGTGACATGCTGCGCATCAAGCGATCCGTTTCGGCTAGCTACAGCCAGGTGCGTGCTACAGACAGGTTGTAGGGTTTGCTAGACACCTGTGGTGGGATGGGGAGTTCTGGGAGGCGTGGAACGCGTTTGAGATCGCGTATGGCAATGAGGACACGTTCCGCGACATGCTCAGGATCAAGCGATCCGTTTCTGCTAGCTACAGCCAGGTGGGTTGTTGGGTTTTGGGAGTTCTGGAGGGAGACCTAGTTGCCGATGGGGAAATCTGGGTGGCGTGGAACTCGTTTGAGATCCTGGAACCCCCTTGCCCTCCTCCCCCCTCGTCCCTTTCGTTTGAGGTTGATTTTGAGAATTCTCAAAATCAACCTCAAACGAGAATTCTCAAAATCAACCTCAAACAAAACGCGTTTGAGATCCTGGCACCCCCTTGCCCTCCTCCCCCCTCGTCCCTTTCGCCCTGCCACAGATGCACTTAATCCTGCTGAGTACCTCATGAATAAGTCAACTCCCTCCTCTCACATCTCGATCTTGCTGCCCTCTCTGTCTCCTCCCTCCCTCTATCCCTGCTGCTTTCTCCCACCTCCCCCCTCCCACATCTCTCCCAGATGCACTTCATCCTGCCCAAGTACCTAATGAACAAGTCAAGTCAACCCCCTCCTCTCATGCCTCGCCTTTGCCCCCCCTCTCTGTCCCCCCATCCCACCCAACCGCTTCTCACTCCTCTCCACGCCCACAGATGCATTTCATTCTGCCCGAGTACCTCATGAAGTCAACCCCCTCCGTGCCCCGGGAAGGTGATACTGGCCGGGCCAGGGAGGGCGCACCTGAGGAAGGCTTACTTGACGCCCCTGCTGCTGGTGGTGGTGGGGGAATGGATAGCATGGAAGCTCTAGAGAAGGCGGCTGCTGGGAAAGCTGCAGCAGGAGCAGGGGACGGGGCGGCGAAACCCCGCGTGCCCATGTTTGTGAGTGGGGGGACGGTTCAAGAGCAGGAGACAGGAGCAGGGGTGAAATCCCAACAGGTGAACCCGGAGGAGATTGAATTGGCTGATGAGGAGGAGGAAGAGGAGGAGGAAGGGGAGGAGGGAGAGGGAGAGGGAGGGGAGGGGAAGGGGAGGAGCAAGGTGGGGGTGACGCAGGTGTCGGTGCCTGCAGGGGTGTTTGGAGCTTTGGCTGGGAAGGCGGAGGAGATGGCGAAGAGAGAGAGGGAGGCGGCGGAGAAGGGAGGGGAGGATGAAGGGAAGGAGGCGGCACTGGGAGCGTTGGAGCGATTTAAGAGACAGAGGAAGCAGTAGGAGGGAAGCTTGAGGGAGGAGCAACAGCGGTCGTTTCTGAGGGATTTGAAACTGAAGGGGCAGACGTGAAGCAATTGGAATGAAGCAGCTTCAATGTGAGGTGATAGATGGATTTTGTTTCGCCATGTTTGAAAGCACTGAGTCCCACGCACAATGTGAGGGATGATGCGTGGTGGTTGTTTGTAGCCATCTCTGCCACTTGTGCTATGGATTGTGCTGGCAGCACTGTCTGAATTAAGTGGCTTCTTGCTTTTTGCTAGATGTGTCTGCTGCAGTGCTGAAGTCTGGCACACAACTTCCAGCATGTTCCTTGAAGTTGGTATATATTCAGCAAATTCTGTGGTGTCTGAGGACCTGCTTTGGTAGTACCAACATGGAGTGTCATCTCAATTTCCATTTTAGCCACAGCCTTGTAAGCAAAATGCTTGTAAGTTGTAGCCACCAAATGCACATCACATGATTCCTTACTGCTTACTGTATGCCTTCGTTATTTTTGAGTCGACTCAAAAATCGCCTAACTGTATGCCTTCGTTTGGAACAGTCTTGCTGGTTAGCAACTGACTTCTCAAAGTACGATATACGGCATGGCAGGCAAGCAGCTCCTATCATGTGCTGGCTTCTTCAGACGGGGTTGCACTTGGATGGACTGTGTTGGTGTTAGCTCGTCGTCTGAAGCACCTTGAGGCGTTTACAAAAAGAACCTTCTCCTGCTTGTGTCCATGTCGTTCTGTCCAAGCAAGAAAAAAGGGGAGGATGAGGATGAAGGGAAATTGAGGAAAGGGAGGCTTCGAAGCGACGAAAGGGCAGGCCGACAGCATTGCCATTAATGGACTCTCTCTCTGTCTACCCACTCACACGGAAAAAACTCACCTTGTACACCCACTCGCACAAAGAAACTCAATTTGTACACTCACACACAAAGAAACACAATTTCTACAACCACATGCACGAAACAACTCAACTTGTAACACCCATCAGCACAAACAAACTCTCACCTTGTACACCTGCTTGAACAAAGAGACTTACCTTGTACACCCACTCGTACTCTCCTCCCTTGGAGTCAAACGTGCCCCGCTGCACGCTCATGAGCTTGAGAGTGAATCGCGGACCGCACTCCTGCACTCAGGGGACCGAGAGACGAGCGAGTTGGAGAACGTAAGGAGCAGCAAGAAGGAGGTGGAAACGGGAGGCTTGGCGATACAGTAAGCTAAAGAGCAGCCCTGATGGTGCTCTTGCATTCGTCTTTCGTTTGCTCAACGGGATATGAGTCTCTCTAATTTGGCCCTTGCAGCTTGGTGAACATGGGCACAAAGATGCACCAACGTAACCCATCGGTCACTGACTCCCCAGTCATCTCACCTGCAGGCGTGTGAAAATGCCCAAAGACGCGCCCAAGCTGCCTGTTTTCTTCCCTGCTGCTGCCGCCTCTGCCGCTTTCTTGCGCTTCAGCAGGCCCGCCCTCTCCTTCTCCTCCCTCGCCTTCTTCTTTCTCAACCCCAGCGACTCGTCTCTACTCTCCGGATCTTCGAATATGTACCTGGTGCATGCAAGGCCGGAATGCAATGTGAGTGTGTGAGCAACACAGTGTGTGTTAGTGAGTGAGTGAATGTGTGTGTGTGTGCGCGCGCGCGTGCATGCGTGTGTGCGTGCTAAGCCACGCACCTGTGGTGGCGGAAGAAGATGAAATCACGCTGGTTGTGCAGAGTGACCACCCTCCTGCCCTTGAACTCTGGGTCCTGCGGAAACAGAGAGGCCAGCAGGCTGGCGAAAGGGAGGGGGCGGGGGGGAATGGGACAAGGAGAAAGGAAAAGGAGGAGCGCAGAGGATTTCGGAATGAGGTGCCTGGGAGATTTTAGTGTTGACATCAACAACAATCACGCTTAAGCACAACCTCTCCCACGCACTCACACCATCCAGCAAGCACAGCCCCAGATACACGCACACACCGCCCAACTGGATGTCCCAGGCGTGTGGAGAAGTTGTTGAGAATGAGCTTCTGGGAGATGCGACGTCACCCATCCACACGAATGCACGCACACACATAGGCACACACCCCCCCCCCCCACTCTCCCCCCCCCCCTTGCACGCACCGTCCAACTCGGTGGCCCAGGCGTGTGGAGAAGTTGTTGAGAATGAGCTCTGGGAGATGCCCTGTTGCCCGCCCTGCGTTCTGAAATTGGAGGGAGGGAGGAGAGAAAACAAATAAGAAAAACCGATGATGTTCGTCTCGCGTTCTAAACCTGAAACCTACAGCTCACCCTCAACTCATGCCTCAATAGTCCGACTCTCACCCTCGTGTCTCAAGCCCTTGACTCTCAGCTTAGTGACTCTCACCCTCGTGTCTCAAGCCCTTGACTCTCAGCTTAGTGACTCTCACCCTCGTGTCTCAAGCCCTTGACTCTCAGCTTAGTGACTCTCACCCTCGTGTCTCAAGCCCTTGACTCTCAGCTTAGTGACTCTCACCCTCGTGTCTCAAGCCCTTGACTCTCAGCTTAGTGACTCTCACCCTCGTGTCTCAAGCCCTTGACTCTCAGCTTAGTGACTCTCACCCTCGTGTCTCAAGCCCTTGACTCTCAGCTTAGTGACTCTCACCCTCGTGTCTCAAGCCCTTGACTCTCAGCTTAGTGACTCTCACCCTCGTGTCTCAAGCCCTTGACTCTCAGCTTAGTGACTCTCACCCTCGTGTCTCAAGCCCTTGACTCTCAGCTTAGTGACTCTCACCCTCGTGTCTCAAGCCCTTGACTCTCAGCTTAGTGACTCTCACCCTCGTGTCTCAAGCCCTTGACTCTCAGCTTAGTGACTCTCACCCTCGTGTCTCAAGCCCTTGACTCTCAGCTTAGTGACTCTCACCCTCGTGTCTCAAGCCCTTGACTCTCAGCTTAGTGACTCTCACCCTCGTGTCTCAATCCCTTGACTCTCAGCTTAGTGACTCTCACCCTCGTGTCTCAATCCCTTGACTCTCAGCTTAGTGACTCTCACCCTCGTGTCTCAATCCCTTGACTCTCAGCTTAGTGACTCTCACCCTCGTGTCTCAAGCCCTTGACTCTCAGCTTAGTGACTCTCACCCTCGTGTCTCAAGCCCTTGACTCTCAGCTTAGTGACTCTCACCCTCGTGTCTCAAGCCCTTGACTCTCAGCTTAGTGACTCTCACCCTCGTGTCTCAAGCCCTTGACTCTCAGCTTAGTGACTCTCACCCTCGTGTCTCAAGCCCTTGACTCTCAGCTTAGTGACTCTCACCCTCGTGTCTCAATCCCTTGACTCTCAGCTTAGTGACTCTCACCCTCGTGTCTCAATCCCTTGACTCTCAGCTTAGTGACTCTCACCCTCGTGTCTCAATCCCTTGACTCTCAGCTTAGTGACTCTCACCCTCGTGTATCAAGCCCTTGACTCTCAGCTTAGTGACTCTCACCCTCGTGTCTCAAGCCCTTGACTCTCAGCTTAGTGACTCTCACCCTCGTGTCTCAAGCCCTTGACTCTCAGCTTAGTGACTCTCACCCTCGTGTCTCAAGCCCTTGACTCTCAGCTTAGTGACTCTCACCCTCGTGTCTCAAGCCCTTGACTCTCAGCTTAGTGACTCTCACCCTCGTGTCTCAAGCCCTTGACTCTCAGCTTAGTGACTCTCACCCTCGTGTCTCAAGCCCTTGACTCTCAGCTTAGTGACTCTCACCCTCGTGTCTCAATCCCTTGACTCTCAGCTTAGTGACTCTCACCCTCGTGTCTCAAGCCCTTGACTCTCAGCTTAGTGACTCTCACCCTCGTGTCTCAAGCCCTTGACTCTCAGCTTAGTGACTCTCACCCTCGTGTCTCAAGCCCTTGACTCTCAGCTTAGTGACTCTCACCCTCGTGTCTCAAGCCCTTGACTCTCAGCTTAGTGACTCTCACCCTCGTGTCTCAAGCCCTTGACTCTCAGCTTAGTGACTCTCACCCTCGTGTCTCAAGCCCTTGACTCTCAGCTTAGTGACTCTCACCCTCGTGTCTCAAGCCCTTGACTCTCAGCTTAGTGACTCTCACCCTCGTGTCTCAAGCCCTTGACTCTCAGCTTAGTGACTCTCACCCTCGTGTCTCAAGCCCTTGACTCTCAGCTTAGTGACTCTCACCCTCGTGTCTCAAGCCCTTGACTCTCAGCTTAGTGACTCTCACCCTCGTGTCTCAAGCCCTTGACTCTCAGCTTAGTGACTCTCACCCTCGTGTCTCAAGCCCTTGACTCTCAGCTTAGTGACTCTCACCCTCGTGTCTCAAGCCCTTGACTCTCAGCTTAGTGACTCTCACCCTCGTGTCTCAATCCCTTGACTCTCAGCTTAGTGACTCTCACCCTCGTGTCTCAATCCCTTGACTCTCAGCTTAGTGACTCTCACCCTCGTGTCTCAAGCCCTTGACTCTCAGCTTAGTGACTCTCACCCTCGTGTCTCAAGCCCTTGACTCTCAGCTTAGTGACTCTCACCCTCGTGTCTCAAGCCCTTGACTCTCAGCTTAGTGACTCTCACCCTCGTGTCTCAAGCCCTTGACTCTCAGCTTAGTGACTCTCACCCTCGTGTCTCAAGCCCTTGACTCTCAGCTTAGTGACTCTCACCCTCGTGTCTCAAGCCCTTGACTCTCAGCTTAGTGACTCTCACCCTCGTGTCTCAAGCCCTTGACTCTCAGCTTAGTGACTCTCACCCTCGTGTCTCAAGCCCTTGACTCTCAGCTTAGTGACTCTCACCCTCGTGTCTCAAGCCCTTGACTCTCAGCTTAGTGACTCTCACCCTCGTGTCTCAAGCCCTTGACTCTCAGCTTAGTGACTCTCACCCTCGTGTCTCAAGCCCTTGACTCTCAGCTTAGTGACTCTCACCCTCGTGTCTCAAGCCCTTGACTCTCAGCTTAGTGACTCTCACCCTCGTGTCTCAAGCCCTTGACTCTCAGCTTAGTGACTCTCACCCTCGTGTCTCAAGCCCTTGACTCTCAGCTTAGTGACTCTCACCCTCGTGTCTCAAGCCCTTGACTCTCAGCTTAGTGACTCTCACCCTCGTGTCTCAAGCCCTTGACTCTCAGCTTAGTGACTCTCACCCTCGTGTCTCAAGCCCTTGACTCTCAGCTTAGTGACTCTCACCCTCGTGTCTCAAGCCCTTGACTCTCAGCTTAGTGACTCTCACCCTCGTGTCTCAAGCCCTTGACTCTCAGCTTAGTGACTCTCACCCTCGTGTCTCAAGCCCTTGACTCTCAGCTTAGTGACTCTCACCCTCGTGTCTCAAGCCCTTGACTCTCAGCTTAGTGACTCTCACCCTCGTGTCTCAAGCCCTTGACTCTCAGCTTAGTGACTCTCACCCTCGTGTCTCAAGCCCTTGACTCTCAGCTTAGTGACTCTCACCCTCGTGTCTCAAGCCCTTGACTCTCAGCTTAGTGACTCTCACCCTCGTGTCTCAATCCCTTGACTCTCAGCTTAGTGACTCTCACCCTCGTGTCTCAATCCCTTGACTCTCAGCTTAGTGACTCTCACCCTCGTGTCTCAATCCCTTGACTCTCAGCTTAGTGACTCTCACCCTCGTGTCTCAAGCCCTTGACTCTCAGCTTAGTGACTCTCACCCTCGTGTCTCAAGCCCTTGACTCTCAGCTTAGTGACTCTCACCCTCGTGTCTCAAGCCCTTGACTCTCAGCTTAGTGACTCTCACCCTCGTGTCTCAAGCCCTTGACTCTCAGCTTAGTGACTCTCACCCTCGTGTCTCAAGCCCTTGACTCTCAGCTTAGTGACTCTCACCCTCGTGTCTCAATCCCTTGACTCTCAGCTTAGTGACTCTCACCCTCGTGTCTCAATCCCTTGACTCTCAGCTTAGTGACTCTCACCCTCGTGTCTCAATCCCTTGACTCTCAGCTTAGTGACTCTCACCCTCGTGTATCAAGCCCTTGACTCTCAGCTTAGTGACTCTCACCCTCGTGTCTCAAGCCCTTGACTCTCAGCTTAGTGACTCTCACCCTCGTGTCTCAAGCCCTTGACTCTCAGCTTAGTGACTCTCACCCTCGTGTCTCAAGCCCTTGACTCTCAGCTTAGTGACTCTCACCCTCGTGTCTCAAGCCCTTGACTCTCAGCTTAGTGACTCTCACCCTCGTGTCTCAAGCCCTTGACTCTCAGCTTAGTGACTCTCACCCTCGTGTCTCAAGCCCTTGACTCTCAGCTTAGTGACTCTCACCCTCGTGTCTCAATCCCTTGACTCTCAGCTTAGTGACTCTCACCCTCGTGTCTCAAGCCCTTGACTCTCAGCTTAGTGACTCTCACCCTCGTGTCTCAAGCCCTTGACTCTCAGCTTAGTGACTCTCACCCTCGTGTCTCAAGCCCTTGACTCTCAGCTTAGTGACTCTCACCCTCGTGTCTCAAGCCCTTGACTCTCAGCTTAGTGACTCTCACCCTCGTGTCTCAAGCCCTTGACTCTCAGCTTAGTGACTCTCACCCTCGTGTCTCAAGCCCTTGACTCTCAGCTTAGTGACTCTCACCCTCGTGTCTCAAGCCCTTGACTCTCAGCTTAGTGACTCTCACCCTCGTGTCTCAAGCCCTTGACTCTCAGCTTAGTGACTCTCACCCTCGTGTCTCAAGCCCTTGACTCTCAGCTTAGTGACTCTCACCCTCGTGTCTCAAGCCCTTGACTCTCAGCTTAGTGACTCTCACCCTCGTGTCTCAAGCCCTTGACTCTCAGCTTAGTGACTCTCACCCTCGTGTCTCAAGCCCTTGACTCTCAGCTTAGTGACTCTCACCCTCGTGTCTCAAGCCCTTGACTCTCAGCTTAGTGACTCTCACCCTCGTGTCTCAATCCCTTGACTCTCAGCTTAGTGACTCTCACCCTCGTGTCTCAATCCCTTGACTCTCAGCTTAGTGACTCTCACCCTCGTGTCTCAAGCCCTTGACTCTCAGCTTAGTGACTCTCACCCTCGTGTCTCAAGCCCTTGACTCTCAGCTTAGTGACTCTCACCCTCGTGTCTCAAGCCCTTGACTCTCAGCTTAGTGACTCTCACCCTCGTGTCTCAAGCCCTTGACTCTCAGCTTAGTGACTCTCACCCTCGTGTCTCAAGCCCTTGACTCTCAGCTTAGTGACTCTCACCCTCGTGTCTCAAGCCCTTGACTCTCAGCTTAGTGACTCTCACCCTCGTGTCTCAAGCCCTTGACTCTCAGCTTAGTGACTCTCACCCTCGTGTCTCAAGCCCTTG